TAGTTCAGTTCCGCGCAGTATCCTACTTACTATAAAGCGCTTGGTCTGTCGTCTGTCGTCTGTCGGCTGCCAGTCGTCTGTCGTCTGTATGGCTGTCACAAAATTTCCTACCTCCTCGGGATCCACCTGGAGGGACCGTGTCAAGTGTGGGATGGGTGGACAAGGCCTCACGAAGTACAAAACACAAACCAGCTAACCGGGGCCCCGCCCACGATGGCCGTGGCTGCATCGAAATGATCTGTACCGACGACCAAGATTTCAATTTCAGTGACAAAACCACCTCGAAACTGGGCCAAAAAGTGAGTGAAGGTGTGCACCGGTAGGTTACACCGAATTAAGGAGACCCACCCTTGAAAGGCAGGGCGTTCTCCGAAGAAGCAGTGGCTTTATGTAAATTTCATAACTCGGTGGGGGAAGCCTACAGAGTAGAAAGCTTATTGGTGTAGGGGAGCAACGTCAAAGGTGCTCCCAGCACACACGACGTTGGCGGAGGTCCGCCCACAATGGGCGGAGCGCGCTCTGAAGTGTACAGCGTTTTCTAGAAGTCCTCATAATTAGGGCAGGAGAAGTCTCACAAGGGAAGGATCCCAGGTCGAAGTGGCCATTCGTAATGAAACCTATACTCACCTACGTGTTTTCGGACGCAGATTTCAAATCCTTCCTTCAAATTTGCGGAACGATTCTCTGAACAGAGTTACAAAGGTTTCAAATGAATGGCCGTTAGAAGAGACACCCTCAGCCTACTGCCGTGGCGTGGCTTAGTGGTAGTGGGGGCGCATGATAGTGGTGAGACTGTGGTTCGGATCCTGGTCATAATGAAACTTTTGCATTTTGTAATTTTGCTTGTTTTGAAGCTGAAAGACCATTCAGTGTTGGGTGTTGGACGGATTTGAAATCAGCGTCCGAAAACACGTATGTGCGTATACATAGGTTTCATTACGAATGGCCACTTCGACCTGGGATCCTTCCCTTGTCAGTGAGCCGGAAAAAGGTGGATAGAGGTGGGTGGAGGAGTGTACGTTAACCGTCATCGGTGGGCGGTGCACGCCCAAAGTGGGCGAAGTTTGCGACGGAAATTCGTAACTCGGTTCCAAGAAATCGCGGAGACCGGGAAAAGGTGGGTAGAGGTGGGTGAAGGAATGGAGACCAAATACTGTTAGTGGGTGGAGCATTTCCAAGGTAGGCGGAGGTCGGTACTAAACTTTGTGATTCGGCTGCAAGAAGTGCTGGACACCGGGAGAGAAGTGAGAGAAGGAAAGGAAGTGAATGTGGCGTGCGGAGGATACACCAAAAAAGCAGGATTCGCCGCCAAACTTTTAAATCGGCTGAGAGATAGTCCAGAAATCGAGTAAAAAGTGAGAAGAGGTTGGCGAGGAAGAAAATGATAGGTGGGACATGCAAAGAAATAGGCGGAGTTTACCACGAGGCTCCTAAATCGGTCCGGAGGCAGTCCGAGGTCAGGAAAAAGCGGAACTTTTTGACGGTGGAGGAACGAGGGAAGCTCCAGAGCTATCGTTGGATGAAGCATGGGGCAATCGGATAGAATTCAGCTTGAAAGTCGAGTATTCGAAGTGTATTGGGCCAATTCGAAAATTCACGCCGCACCATTCTATATCGTCGCAGAACTGTGCTGTGCGCGCAACGCGAGCGGCGCCAACTGGTATCAATTGATTTATCAGTTACTCAATTCTGAAGCTATCTCCACGTTTGACAGGTACTGACCACCTCCGCCAAACGGAGCAAGGCAGAAGGTTGTGAAGCAGTATTATTGGGCCTGAGGAAGCGAGACGTGGCCTTTTCGTGGTCAAAGGCGCGCTAGTTCATCGCCCCGGAGCTGTTAATCCTCTCTGACCTCCGCCTCCGCCGCCTATGTTCCAACCATTTGTGTGTTGCTAGCAGCATCATTGTTCTTATCACTTGGACGAGATATTTCACTTCAACTCTGTATCCTATAACTTTTCCACGGAATGGGTCATCAATCAAAGCATAATCATTGCTGGAATGATAGCGGCTATCGGTTTAACATGTGCGAACGACCTCCTACTTGGTCGCTGGCTCTTTCACTGTCGGAGGTCAGTGTGCAAAAAATGGGTCCCATTTCGCGAGTTCATGATGGATTGCTTTGTGTTTTGGCCATTGTTGCATTATTTAGATATAGATACTCGTAGATGAGCAATTGTTAGCAGAGCGGAAGGGATGAAGCTCTCCGTACTGCGATAATGCCACAGACTACATTAGGTTGTCTCAAAAGTTTGTGAGCAATGTGAATCGTCATGGAGAACACCGCCTGCTTTCCAAAAACACCACTGTTCATCTTCCGTAGCAGCCACTGTAGGAAACCCCTCTAATTTTTCAAGAAACCTTGGTGCAGTAGAAGCGCACTCGAAGTGTCTACGATCTATTAGGTTGTCTCAGAAGCTCGTACGTATTTTGAATCTCTCGTTGAGCCTACTCTATTTTAAGCGCATGCATTACCTGTGATCAATAGATGTATCAGGAATCTTTGCCAGTGACCAGCGTAGAGTGGCCGCTTAACCTCTAGAAGGCTGGCAGTTAGGAGCTGAAAAAGCGGGGAGGTCGATTTCAAAGTGTACATGGGAATCGCATGTTTTTCCGCAAGTTTTTAACTGAGCAAGCGCGTTGGATGTGGTAGAACTTTTCGGCTTTTCGATATCTACAGTCACGCGATTTTCAAGACGTGTGGTCTCGGTTGTCGTGAAGCGGACATAATTTTTTTTTGGATTTTGAGGACAGTTATAGGAATTTCGCCGCGACTCTGGTGTTAGTCACATTAGTTTCAAAGGCATGCTCCGGGATTAGGCGCTTGTTCTATCCCCGGCGTAGTAGACAGGCAGACAAGCGTTGATGTCGAGCCCTTTTGCCGCTTGAAAGTGCGAGACAAAGGCGCAAGGCGCTCGTCCGACCTTCAACCCATACCTTCGTCTGCAAGCCCCACCTCCACTTTCGGTTGCCTCGTGGCGCTGCTTGAAAAGCTTGGGCCCATTTGAGGCAGCGATCCCATTGCGACTCAATGTCATTGGCACTGGAGCAACTAGTGATAGGTTCGCGAAACTCGCCCAACGCACCCCTTCTATCTCTAAAGGTGGAACGTGGTTCAAGGGGAGGTCTCTGTGCGGGGCGTAATCGGTGGTTTCGTTTGCTTTCCTTCTCTTTTCCAGACCACCTCCCATCACTAGCTTTAAAATTGAACGCCTTTCCACACCTATGTTATCCCGAATCTTGCCTTTAACTAACTTCATAGCTGTAACGAGAGAGATGTTTCTAGTGGGTAACTCACGCTCCAAAAAATGCGGAGCATGACCTAGCAGTGAACTTGTTCTTTTTTGCCCTCTTCTGCTCGATGCAGTCATTGGGGCTTCTAGCTGTAGCTGTAATAAAATCTGCACTTCTCAGCTGAAGTAGCGGCTTTGTTTAACCAGTATGTACGGGTGGAGTAGAAAATAAATTATAGACGTGTTGCACCTTCATCAGTGGTCAAGTTAAAAGGGAATCCTTTGCAGAGCTTCAAGACTTTTACGAAAGAGCGAGAACCTCTGTGAACTGTGCGTCTAAAACAACTGTGTGTGGTGGCTACGTAGCGAGTTACGACGCGTGGATTGGCTTCAAAGGGAGAGCGCAACCTGTCCAGATCCGATACCGATAGGCTTCCTAAACGAGGGCTTCTTCTCTAGGCGCAGTCTCCTGCGCAAAGAAGATCCATCCATTTTGATACCTCATGGCTGGTAATGGCAAGGAGATGTATCACCAAGCAGATGTTACTTCCGGCTTCGATCCGTTTGTGACTTGGAAGGAGTTCTCGTCAGAGCGTGAAATACACGGCTTTCCCCTTTCTCAGTTCCAACTCGAAAGAGGCTACTAGAGTGGGCATCATTCGATTGTAAGTCACTGCACGTTGTTCTCTCTCCGTCTGCTGAAGGAGCTTGTGGCACAAGATCCAAAAAATACGCACAAACTTTTGAGAAGACCTAATATTATGTTTTGAGATTTTTTTAGCCATATGGTTTTTCTTCTAAGAAGATATCTGTGAGCAAATGTATTTCCTGTTCAAGCTCTGTAAAATTCCTTTCTGATTTGATCCGGAAAAGCCTACAGACCAAGTCTAGCAACAGAATAAAAGACGTTGAACATGATAACATGGCAAGTGTTCGCTGTATTAAGCACAATAGGTAATATGTCACTCAACCGCAACCCAGGTTTCATTTCTTTGCGCGTATTACATACCTACTGTTTTTTATTCAAGAGTACATTTTAGCATTTATGGGGGGCATGATATGTGCACAACTTTCACAGTAACTCTTTTATCGGAGAAGTTTCTAGAAGTGCTTCGTTAGGTTGGGCTTGTTATTTTCCGACGAATAAATCTGTTTTTTTCGTTGCTTCTAGCACAGTGATACAGCTCTCGTTAGAAAGATTTGGATCCAAACGTATTCATGGATTCTGGAGTGAAAAACTTTGCTTTTTTTCGATTTTTTTTTCGGAAATTTTCCTTTACTGGGCGAATGAATTTCTGCTTGGCTTGCAGATCGTCAATAGTTACATGGGATTCAAGATGTTTCATCAATTGTGCATGCAGTTCTAGTTATTTTGGCTTCATCCGCTGTATTCATGCTTGCCGGTGTTCGGAGGCATTCTCTGGAAATTGCAAAAAGCTTCGTCGCCAACGTGTTAAGAGAGTAGACAAGGAATAATGCGATCCCCATTAACAGCCAAGAAACTCCCACTTTAGCTTGGGCTTATTCTGAGTTTATGCGGAACGTAGAAAGATGAAAATTAGTTTTCACAAAGGCAAAGTCCGATGTAGTGTATGTCGGTGCTGTCAACTTTCATGTGGTTATTTCATGAAGAAATGCGGAACAGTGCTTCCTTGAGCTGCTAGCGTTGAGCTTGCTGATTGAAAATGATACTTCCGTGCAGCCCATGAAATTGGTTGCTCAATGGTGTTTTGAAGGAATTTCATCAACACTTTATTAGTATTACATTTATGGCTTGACAACCTTCGAGCACGCGTAAGTACTGAAATCAATGAGACTCTTGGAGTGGGTGAGGAAGCAGTTCCATTCGAGTTTTGTGATGACCTGTACGATACAATTGTCATTATACGAAGGAACACGAAGAATTTCTTAGATCACTCAACATATTAGTGACAACGTATTGCAACAAAAAGGTCCCTACACAAAATGTATCTGTCGTATAGGGAAGTTGGAAGATTAAAGCCGACGCCTATGAAAATTTTGTGAGTGGCATACTTCTTAATGGCTAGGTTCATTCGCTACAGGTTTCGTTTTTTTTTTCGAATATACTCGTTCGGAGTGGCGCAAACTCAAGAGATTGCAAAATGAAGCGTCACTTCAAGGAACCGTGGAATGGGCCTTTAAGGGAGTTTGAAGGCTCACCGGTTCCAACAAGGCTGGCCTAGGTACTTTGGTGTTTAATGACGCTGAATGATTAAAGGGATTTCCACAAAAAAAAGCTCCGAATTCATTACCACAGAAAATGACACCTGAAGGAATCTTCCACGGAAAGAGTGATCATTTTGTCTTGTGTGTAGAATTAGTATTATTGAAACTAACGCTTATGCTCAGTTCTTTTTGCTATGCTCATGAGGCTAGGGGCCTAACGTATCGTTTTTCTGTGGTAATGGAGGCAGAGCTTTTTCCGTGGATGATTCCTTTAAGAAAAAGGCACTTACTGGTATGAGTGAGGTGCACAGTTTTTCCATAAGTGGTTTTGTCACTTGCGCTGCCATGGTCGTATATCCGATGTCGAAGACAGCCGCTTTCGCTTTTCCGGCACTCTTAGCGGCCTTTATGTCAGCGATCACCTGAACAATCGCTATCAATAGATGTAGATCCGATTTCCAGCCACAGGCGAAGACAGCTGCAAATTTCATTGCGACTTCCTTTTAAAGTTAGCATGTGTTTTGCGCTCCTCACATTCTCTTAAAGACATGTCCCAAGATCAAACTGGTGCGGTTCTTACGCACGAATATGATTGTATTGGTGCCAGTAAAGGAAAGGAGAAAAGAATCCGTTGGAAACGCTCAAGTTGAGGGCTGCGCACCTTCGTAATACGATTGTGTTTGGAATGGAAGACCGAGCGCGAAAAGGAGAGCATGAGGCGAGAAATCGTTACTGATGACTGGCGCCAGACAAAGCGTGCCAAGGACGTCAACATTGCAGCTGCTGCATATCACTCTGCAAGGCCCTATGGCCCTAGTCAGGTGATTCTCACACAAGTGTGTACCACACCTGTAATTGTCGTGTAGTCTACCCCACAGACCAGTGGGAATCGTTGACACGACTTCTGCCTCGGTTGTGCCCTTAGAGGCAAGATTCAGGATTAAATTATGAGGTAATTTCACTCAAATGCGATGGTAAGGGTAGGAAGTGGAGTACCAGTGAAGAAAAAAGAAAATAAAATTCGTAAAATGCAAGGAAATACCTGCCTCTTGCTCTACGCTGCGGAGAAGTTCAAAAGGCTGGCAGGGCGATGAGAGATAATGTGAGCCTTGAGAGCGGTAGAGAAGTCCGAGAAGAGAGAGCATAGCAAATCAAGTTAGCGAAGCAGACAAGATATCGAGCGGTGGGTGGAGCGTGTCGCAGCAGGTGGAGCGTGTCAAAGTTCTTAGCGCCTAGCGTCTACGTAACACTTTTCGAAGTAGGGAGGTGACGCGACCTCTACAGCTGCGTACCTAGCGCTTATAGCCACCGTAAAGTTTCATTAAGTGGGTCTGAGCCCAAACTTTGTCTTTAACTCTTCGACTACTATTGGTACGCATGTGTACCACTACCGTAGTCAAAGGCACACCAAAGTACTGGGTCTTATTGAGGCAGAACTGCCAGCTTCATGGCGAAGTTGTGCACAAGTAGAAACCTTACAAATCGTATCCTGTCAGCGAACTGTTGGAAGTCGAAGCGAGCTACTCTTGAGAACACAGTAAAGCAAGTCATATGGAATTTGCTGGGCAGTGTGCCCAGCTTCTAGCCGTTTTCGATACTACATGTAGGAAGGCATTATATTACTAAATTTTCAATAGAAGGTAACATATTGCATTTCATTAGGAAGCGTGATTATTGCTCTATCCGAAATTGCTGTTTGTTCTGCTCAACAACCATTCCACCCACTTTTTCAAGGCCTTGTGTACAACATGTTCAACAAGCGAGTCCGCAGTTCTTTCTCTGACTGAATTAGGGCAAAAAGCACGAAATCAGCTTATGATATGAACTATTGTTTCGAGTTCGCACTCACAAAAAATTTTCTATGCAGTGATAGTTTGGAAAGGTTGTGTGAGGATGCTAGAGCCTCGAAGAGGTGGTGAGGATGGTCATTGGATATCGAACACTACGTACAGGGGCTTGTGGTTCCAAGTCACAAGGTATGGGTTGAAAGATGTTTAAATGTCGGTAAGGAAGTGCCGTAAATATCATGATTTGGCAGAGCCGTCTGCCCTTCTACTATTTTCTTTCATACATTGGAGAAAACCGTTTTTTTGTTCGGACCGTGGAGTACAATGTAGAACGGATTCATCGCAATAAGCCATGAGCCACAGCAGCGATCCGATCACTACCAGGCCCAACAAAACATCGCAAAGGCGAAACGGGACGAAGAGAACGTAGCGCTGCCTGTTACGCGGTATGCAGCAGGCGTAGCTCTATGAGCACAGACAGAACCATTGAAGTTGGACAGTATTCTTTACAAGGTGGCAAAATTCCCCTAAAGCTTGGCACATGGCTTGATTTCCAATCTTTTGACAAACACAATGTGACCCCCGCCTACAAATTAACATTTGAGAACCCCAAGGCGTTTTCGAATGGCAGAACTCGCCGCAAAAGTGTTCGCGAGTAATATGAAAGGCTGTTCAATGACATTACCTTATTGTACACTTGCTCAACAACAGCGAAGCCAGCAGGAGTTACTTTGTCAATAAGATTCAAAGTAGTTTGTTTCTCCGGCTTCATGCAGTTATCCACTGAAACAAATCGTCTATAAATCCAACGCGATTAGGAATTCTGATGAAAGTAGCTGTTTGTAATGCAAAACAAGCACATTTGCTTTACAGTTTTGGTCTCCATATTTGTAACCAGCATTCCTGACTGGACCGATTTATCCAGGTCTCCAATCAAAGTTCAGGAATTTGGGAGCCTTTCCCGGTAAGGTATTTTTTGAGCGTTCTTAGTTCTCAGCGATTCAAGCTGCAAAAGTGAGGCTAACTCCAATACAAGCGTTCCTGCTCCACTAACAATTTTGATATGACTGTGAGTTATCTTTCCAAAAAAGGAAGATTCGAATGACCGTCCGTCAAAGCAAGTTCAACGAGCTGGAACGTATTTGAGATTTTCAAAGGTTTTCAGCTGATGGAGCTTGGGGTTCCCGTTTCCGCTTACGGAGAGAAGAGCTGCTTTTAACTGTTTGGTTTGCCCTTAAGACATATTTACCCTCTCTCAACAACAAGGAAGGAAATGTAGACGGACGTTGAAATGTGCCGACTGGTTTAAGAATCAACTATAAAAAATGCTTTAGAAACAGAAGTGAGGGCAGCCGGGGATGCTAAGATGGAAGGGTCTTCTAGTCTTCGGATCTTCGGGGACCACCCCTCCCCCGAGACTGATGGTAATGGAGCCAAGTAGTGTCAATGGTCTTTCAGTAGTGGAAGGGTCGTCACAGTTTGGGTGAGTAGTTATCCGGCCATTCTGCTGGTCAGGCTGCAACAGGCTCCACAGTAATCAGCAGAAAAGCATTCAAAAAACTTACTGTTTGTCATCAATTTCATCAGAGTGAGATACTTTGAGACGACTGTGTTGCCAATTGCGCATGACAGTGCCTCTGAAGTTCAGCAAATTTGTACGTCAAAACGTCTACAGACAGCAGATCGAAGAAAGGAAGAAATGCCAAAGGAAATGTCTTCAAACTGTGCTCACTTTCTTTGATTTTTTGCATGCTGGCAATATCATAGAAGGAATCATCGATACAGTCAGTGAGCTGAGTAAAAAAAAGTGAATTTTGATGATATATATGTGAATCGGAAGCGAAGGACTTGACAAACCTTTCCGATTTCAGCCACCGTGTAAAATGTTACACCCAAGGATTTCACTTTCGAGTCAAACTTGGCTTTTGGTGTCTGAGCGGAGGACGGGCGAATGGCCAAGATTGCGACGACAGCAACAGTGATGAGTTGAGTGTACATCTGAAGTAAGGGTTGAGCATTTACAACATAAAGACCGATTATACAAATGAGCTTAGACGATGACCATCATAACATCTCCTTCCAGAGTGACTTGATGAAGTCTCTGTTTAGCAACTGGCCTAATCATTTCATTGAAGGCATGCCATGCTGTCGACACTACTCTGGCAAGACGCGAGAGGCGCGCTGCTTGGGGTCGTACCCAGACAGAAAAGCAAAGTTCTTATGAATAGGTATTGCGCAGTGGATGCAATTCTTCTGAAGTTAACCCGTACACGCTCATCACTTCATTGTGAAGTGGTACTATTTTTTTTTCAGGACACTACCACAATCGCATGCGCAATGTTTTAATTTTGGGAATTTATACCCCGAGTCTGAGCATTTTCTTGAGTGCGCGAGTGCCTGCGGTCAGACGTCATGAATTCTAGTGCCACGAGCAGCTCAGGTGTACAGTGGGTCCACTTCAAGAAGTGATGAATACAGGCATGAAAAGGGAGATTCCACAAATCGTGGTGCTATCTACCACTACGCACAGCACTTGCAAACTCTTTGTCTCCAGCAAGACATGACCGTGTCTCTGCCAACTGTATTGTCGAAAGCATGGCAGCCTTTAATGGGTTTGTGAAGCCAACTGCCTATCAGAAACTTAACTCAGTCGTTCTGGAAGGAGCTTCAAAAAGGGTTAGAAGAATCAAGAGCTAGATAAGAAAAAACGCGTCAGTTTAAAAAATCAATGAGTATGCCTAAGTAGGCAATAATCTCACAAAATTTCTCACATGTAACTGGCGGCAGGTTAATCAACTAACATAGTTTCAACATGTTACCTACATATAGTTTCAATATGTTACGACTTATAAATCTAATTTTTATTTTATTTCAGGCTTGACAAGAAGCCGAAAGCCCGTAAAGGGGCTAGCTACTTTTGCAAATTGTTTTTTATTCTTTTGCAATGAGGATTCCCCAATCTCCGAACCTTCTTAAAGTCGGCATTGATATGCTTGTTCAATGAAGAATAAAGGGTTTCGAAACATTAATTTTCGGTGTTCGAGCAAAATCCACGAAAGCTAGCCAAAAACCAAAACTGCGTATATTTTTGCCTTCTATGCTTTCAAAATCTACGTTGTACATTGTCGAGGAAACCATTGTCAAAATCTACGCTGTACATTGTCGAGGAAACCATTGGAAAGTTGCCCAAAGCGCTTGTTCAACTAGACTATGGAGTAACTGTAGGATATAAAAGGATAGAGGTAACTGTTAAACTAACTATAAAGCTCACTTTTATACGGTATAGGGAGTGTGAATAATCCCCTGTCCTATAATTGGCAGATTATGTGTGATTTCCAGGCCAAAAATCGGCCCGTTACATCGTAGTGAACTTTGTTGCAGGTTCACTTTATTGGTGCGCATCAACAGTTCCGAAAAATTTGTGATACTCTTTGGCTGATGAATACTACTGTACTACTATTACATTTCATTGTAGCCCGATTTCTTGTTGGACAAACGGGAAAAGGTTGGAATAGGCGGGCACTAACCTTACCATGAGTGCAATTCGTGGCATAGATTATGAATCAAATGTTGCCAGAAGGTCTTCCATTCCTTCAAAGTTTCTTGATCACCAGAGCCATTTGGGAGAATGAAAATACTGGCATGAATATGACTGGCCCCAGTGACCCATCGCATGGTCCAAATCCTTTCAAATGCCTCGTTTGTTTCAATTAGGAGCAGAATGCGTGGATCTGGCTATTGAACAGTGACGTAGACTATCTGCAGTGCTCTTATCCTCAGCTGGTTCATGATTTTGGTGTGCGCGAATACGACACCGCGACAAAGATATTCAAAAAAATAGTTTATAATGCTATTTATTTAAAACTCCGTCCACAAGGGACAAACGCTGAAGAATAATAACAAGACTTGTTTGATTGCGATCAAGGAGGCTCAGAAAATTTTATCTCATTTCTTTTATCATTAGCAAGATTTGCATCTGCAGTACACAAGCACGTTGACGTATATCCGTTGCCTAGTTAAGAAATGGTCATAATATTACTTGTTTCCTGCAAGTATAACTACACTCAGTTATGAGCCAGGAATAATTGACTAAAGAAATGACAACCCTCTGGGTGGCTCTTCGTGAAATCGTCTCACTTATTATTTTTCACGGAGGAATATCTACTTGTAAACGGGTAGTGTTGCAGCAGTGCAATTACAGGGGTGGCCAAAAAAAAGACACTTGCCCATGGCGCACATCATCGAACTTTTCGTAGCACAGGGAGCCGATCTCAATGAAGGTTTTACGGCGGAATAGTCCTTAGGTATTCCCCCGTAAACAGAAGCAGGCCCTCCTTCACTGCGCCGCCGTCTTCAGAGTACAGCGTCATCTGCAGCCACCGTCGAGCTTAATGAGGCTTATCGTAACCGCTCCGGCCTGAATCTGCTACATAATTTCTTCATTGGGTTATAAGCAACAGTAACATATTTGCTAGCCAGTCTCTAAAAAAATTCAGGATACACCATTTCGTAGTAGATCTTCGATCACCAAGCGCTTAAATTGCGGCAGCGATAGAGGGGCAGGTATATTTTTCGTCAACTTCAAATATTCATTGCCGGCTCTGAAGGTGAAGCTCTTCGCACGCACATTAGTTTTAGGACGTGCCAGCGAGATCTTTAAGATCAAGCTCAACTGCTGAATAGCTTCCTAGAGACATTAGCTGTGACTATGCAAACCCGCTTTTGACCACATTTCAGGGACCTCGTACTGGTCCATGGTACCTCGACGACCTCGTTGAGATCGTACGTGAACTATGTTTCCGTGGGAAAATCTTCTGACGTCTTCGATATAGAAGACTGTCATGTAAATTTCAGATAGATTAGAATGTGCTCTTTAATACTGAGTTGGAGGGAGTCGATTTGATTTCAGAAAAGTGTGATTAATGCTGTGTGAGATGTGAAGTGTCTTTTTTGGCTACCTCTGTAGAGGAAGGCGAGACGGCAGCTAGTAACCAGTGAATTGTACTAAGTCTTCTTCAGATAAGCAACGTTCCATCTTCCCGCATGGGTCTACATAACGTTTTACAGCGTAGAGAGAAGAGCTACCAGCATCTTGTTTTGTTTGAATTTTTTCTAATATCGGCTAAGTACCGTGGAATATATCCCAAAGAATAAACTCGCGATAACCTGTCCATAAAAAATAAAGATGGGTAGAGTGTCATGGAGAATAGAGGAACTTTTCAGAGGATATGTTGCGCATCCGAGGTAGAGAGCATCCTACTAATGATGCTATAAGGTGCAGAATAGTACCCAACGCTATCCAGAAATATCATACCGCAGACGTGTTGCGTGATTTTCTTCATTGGGGGCCTGTCATACAGAGTCAACCCTGCGTTGCGCAGTTCGCAACGGCACGTTGAGAGATTCTCAACGCACGCCGTATGGGCGGAGACGCAGACGGCTCAGCATGCGAGTGTGAATGTTAGCGCGAGAGAACGTGGTCTTAATCGGGCGAAACTGCGCAACGTGGCCGTTGAAAACTGCGCAACGCAGGGTTGACTCTGCTGTCATATCAAGCTGCCTCGCCTAGAAATTTTACTTCCATGTACTGCACAAAAGAACCATACGTATAGTTCCGCATATGGATGATTCTTGTGCAGTACGAGTTCATGTTGTGATAATGATTAAGAAATAACTCTCCTATTGGTCCACGATTCCTACAATTAACTGACTGCACTTTCGTTGATGTTGTAGTTGGGTTTTTACTTCTGCCTCGACGTTGTTAGGAGCACACTGCATCTCCTCCAAATCACCGCAAGTATGATAGATAAGTAATCCAAGGAATCATCAAGTCAAAGACGTCCACTCGAACTTGATCGTACTTGGAGATAATTGGGGAGTCAAGGCATATGTTTCCAAGCTCTATTTTCCGAATCTTTTTAAGCCTTTGAAGATATCTATGCTGTTACTTTCACATTAGAAGCTTGGCAAATAACCGACGATGAGAAAGAAAAACAAAAGTACTGAATCGAATACTGACACCTTACGCTCTCCTGAAGTAAGTATCTAATCAAAATCTATCATTTTTCAATAGCGCAAGGTACGCCATCGTGATTAACAGGATGATTGCTATCTGGATCATCTCCAAATAAAAAATCAGTGCTGAGCAGAGTGCTCGCGCCGGTGCACCGTGGATTGAGGACCGCGACCTCTTTATCTCTTAGTCAATCCTTAGATAGCCTGACTTGGGAAGATCACAAAACTCGTGAAAAACAAGGTCACGAAAAGCTTATAACTTTTTGTTTCTTGAAATGGCTACAACAAGTAGCTAGACAATTATCTGGTTGGTTGACTAAAACTGAAAAAGGAACGCTAAGTCAGCAAGCATTTTGCGGAATTTCCAAAGAAATTGCCTTACATTGCAATTTTCAAAAAAAAACCAGCAGTAACAAATTTGTTGAAGAAATTAGTATGGACCAGCCTAATGCTAATGATTACGAATGAAAAGCTATTGTAACGGCCACCGAAGCACCCTTTGATCACTTTGCTCATTCCTTTTTCACAGACAGATCGTTTGGCACCCCTAAATTCACATTTCCACGGTATTCGTTCTTATCGCCGGTTCTTTCGATAGGATAAAGAATATCCGTAACTCCAGTAACAGTGCTTGAAATGGTAGAGCTGTGACGTATCGATAAACTGCCAAACACTCACGTTGGGTCATTTACTCGAAATCTGGGAAGCAGGCGACACTTGTGTGAAGTGCAACATCGGACCAGTTCGTTTTTCGTTGTTCTCGGCTTTGCGCATCAACACTGTACTCCTGTCTTACAGAATCGTAATAAGTGGTCGTTTGACTCACTACTTTTTACACAAAAACTTAGACTACAAGACTTCACACTCCGTTCTGGCTACCATTATCTGGTAAGCAAGCTCCACAGCAGAAGTACTTAAGCCAGAGCTTTAACATCAGGTGCGCACAGGTTTGGGTAGAGGTAACACTTTATGTATCATCGAGG